GCCTTCTTGCAGCAGTTTACTTTTGTCTTACGTCATCGTTCCGGTGCTTCGAATAGGGTGGCTGATGCCTTGAGTCGGCGTGTACTTTTGTTGACCGATATGCGCGTTTCAGTTCTGGGCTTTGATGTGCTCCGCGAGTTATATGCCGAGGATCCTTTCTTTGGCCCAATTGTTGGGCGCCTTGCCGTGGGTCCGGTCGATGGCTACTTGTTGGCTGACGGTTTTCTCTTTCGCGGTCTTCGGCTTTGTATCCCGGATTGCAGTCTGCGCCAGAAGTTGATTTCCGACCATCATGGTGCCGGCCACGTGGGACGCGACAGGTCGGTTGAGCTCGTGGGGCGTTCATATTTTTGGCCTTCTCTTCGTCGGGACGTAGGCAGGTTTGTCGAGCGGTGTCGTGTGTGCCATGTCTCGAAAGGAGTGGCCACGAATGCGGGCCTTTATCGTCCGCTTCCTATTCCCTCACGGCCGTGGAGCGCGATTAGCATGGATTTTGTGCTTAGTTTGCCACGTACTCAGCGTGGCTTCGATTCTATTTTTGTGGTCGTGGATAGGTTCTCGAAGATGGTGCATTTTGTTCCTTGTAAGCGCACCACGGATGCTGTACATGTGGTCCAGTTGTTCTTTCGGGAGGTGTATCGTCTGCATGGACTCCCGTCATCCATTGTTTCGGATCGTGATACGCGCTTTCTTAGCCACTTCTGGCGTAGTTTGTGGCGCATGGCGAATACTGAGTTGGATTTTAGTAGCGCGTACCACCCGCAGACAGACGGCCAGACGGAGGTGGTGAATCGGTCATTGGGTAACCTCCTTCGTTGCCTAGTGGGTGATAATATTCGTAGTTGGGACCAGCGTTTGAGCCAGGCTGAGTTCGCACATAACTCGGCAGTTGGTCGGGCTACCGGTTTGTCGCCTTTCGAGATTGTTTACGCGGTTCGGCCCCGTGGGCCGTGTGACTTGTTGGCATTACCGACAGTGGACTCGGTTGATCGCCGGGCTGCTGACATGATCTCCGATCTCAAGGCAACGCATGATGCAGCACGAGCACGACTGGAGGCAACTACGGCTTCGTATAAGAAGCGAGCGGATCTTCGCCGTCGCCATGTCGAGTTTGAGGTGGGCGATTTTGTTTGGTCCGTATTGACGAAGGACAGGTTCACAGCCCATGAATACAATAAGCTTTCGGCTCGGAAGAT